CTTCATCGAAATAGATAAGTTTAATGCCATACTTTGGGATATTTCAGCCAAAACATCACCATAGAAGCAAAGTTATAGCACTTTTAAGTATACTGTACATTAACTGTTTCTGATAAGGAAACAAGATGATATTACGTGAAATGTTCAGTCAGTTTTGCCTAGGACCTTTAAAAACACATAAAACATTATTGCCGCTCTGCTTCTCAACTATTCCCTGTAGCCCCAATTGCCTTCAAGTCTTCTTTAAATTCCACCATTCATTTAGACAAGTCAGGCGTTTTCTTTCATATCTACGTTTAACAGAGACCCTGGGGTGTTGTGTGTCTGCTTTAATGAGAGCTCAGCTGATTAGCACCATGTCAAAGCACGGGATCGCACTAACCACAACATCTGTGTCCAACTAAATCTTCATTTTAAAAGACTGCACTGAATGGCGATAGAAGCGGATGACATATTTGGGCCACTGCGGTTTAAAATGGCAAAGCAGCAGCGCCTTGGGTTATTTGGCCTGGTAAAGGTGCAATAATAGGACAATGGTTTGTACATGAGTTAGAACCCTTGGGCACCATGTGAATTATTAATGGGCTCCCAAAATAGAAATGCTGGTATACTTGAATACTTGGATGTTGTAGTAGTTTAGTAGCTCTAGTAGTGCCTATTGAGAGTCATTGTCCTATGTTATAACTGCAAATAAGCTACCTATGACACCATATAGTAAAGTATTATACCCGTATTACCAGGTATTATGTTGTTTTGTTGGTATATTTATTTAATAATCATGTTGTACAATTAGTAACATTGGTTATTTTTGTTTTTTAATACCAGGGCTATAGGCCTTTAGTCATTTAGTTGATTATCTGGTTGATGGTGTCTTAGTTGACCAAAATTTGTATTAGTCAACAAACAATTTCTTTTCGATTATAAGGATTTATATGGGACAAAAGCAGAAAGGAGAAGTCAGTAAATGAGTTAACTGAACATTTAGTATTTGGCAGGTTGAATCTATCTTTATTTAAGTACATTGTTTCCTGGCACTTTTCTGCATAGTTGTTTTGTTTGTTTTGTTTTTTTTTTTGTGAGAACAGTTTGGGATACAGATACAAACAGATCTGTTGCAGTTTTTGAGAGCTTTTACCACGCCTCCTTTTTAGTGGATTAATCAGTCACAGCAGGACATGACTGGAATTTGTATAACAATTGATCCATATGTGCTCTGGACCCATACCTAAAACTACATAAATGATTTAAAGTCTGAGATGCTAAACATTCCATTTTGCTAAGAAAAATAAACATCAAACAAACCTAACAGGCAACATTAGTCAAATCCTTAACAATGAGATAAACACAGGCAAATGTACAAGAATAGTTGCGTGCAAAAGTTAAATTAGACTGCTTTTGGAGAGCTTGTGCAAACAGGTGTCTGTCATTCACTCTGTAAGGGGGTCTAAGCTCCATGGGGTATGAGATTTCAAAAACACTTCTAATGCATTCAGTGTGAGCACAGTAATCCGCTTGCTTATCGTGCTGACAACGCCGATTGTGGCAGTGATACAGATCTGTCGTGCTTTGGGCATTGTTGACTTTTGATCAATGGTGGAAGGAGTATCACATGAAAAATCTACTCAAGTAAAATCATTAAAGTACCCATTTTGTACCCATTTTAAAATGTACTTAAGTGTAAAAAAAAAAAAAATATTTCACACAGATTTAAAGTTTCAAATATAGTGATTATGATACAGATTTGTGCTGTACAGAAACAAGTGAATCAGTTGTTGTTTTTTCCCCTAGCTGTTTTTATTTGTATATTTTTCATTGCTCAAATTATTAATGTGTTGCAAATAAACTTTCGAAGGTCTCAAACTATAATAAAAAAATACTTTTGCTTTTCAGTTCTGCTCAGAAATGTAGTGGAGTAGAAAGTACAGATACTTGCTCTCAAATATATTGAAATAAAAAGAATCTGCTTCTTCAACAAGTTGATATACTTAAATAAAGTACAGATACCTAAAATTTACACTTTATTACAGTGCTTTACTACTTTTAATTTGTTATGCTCCACCTGTGCTTTGATGAAGGTAAACCAGACTTAGCCATGGGAACTAATGGGATATGGGGAAGGTGGTAGGAGACAGGACAGGGGACTGGCAGTAATTGCAGATAACTCGACGGGCTAATTTAGAGATCCAAAGTGTGGCTTTTGTGGGCAACATGTGCAGAGATAGGCTTATTATGGGAGACCGTTCACGCCCCTGTGCTCCTACTCAGCCATATGTTACAGTGGGGAAAATGGGCTCCTCTTCGCAGGAGAGGTGCAGTAATGAATAAGAATGTACTAGGGGGGTTTCCAGGAAGTGTATTTTGACAGCCTATAAACATGTCTTAGCAGATTTGAATATAGTAAATAAATAACAAATCAAGCTATTCATCCAAGCTGTTTTTCCCATCTTCATCTTTTTATCAAGTTCCAGAAAATCTGCTCTTCATAATAGATATCGGATAAAGCTATCACGCATATTACATCTTGATGCTGGTTCATGAGCCATAAGCCATTTTTTAATGCAAGGAAAACATTGCTATTATGCAAATTTGCAAGATGCAGATTGGCATTGCTTACTGTTATTAAAGTCTCTATGGACACTACGGAAAAGACTCAACTATGTACTAGAGCTGTAACTAATGATTATTTTAGTAGTCGACTATATTTTTCAATTAATCGACTAGTCAAACAATTATTTCTATAGTAAATTTAGACAGTCAAAACACATTTTTAACCAAATAAATGGCCCTACTATGTACTTTATATTTATTATAGAAGTTAATGCCATAAAATAATGATCAAATATTTAAATATTTGAGCCAACTGCAAAACACATATTTGTATTTCTCACAGAGCTTATCCGATGTTTGAGTTTGTGTCAGTTGTCTTTTGCTGCTGCTTTTCCCACTGAGAGATCAATCAGTGCCCCCCCTAAGATTAAGTATCCGCTACTACTACAAAACCCCTCCCTTTTCCTCTTCATATGGTGTCATATATAATTGAATCCATCAACAATCCCCTCTTGGACATCCAAACATATGGCTTGGGATCCCCGCTTCATACAATCATACAAACACTCCCCCCTCCCCATGGTCCCCTGTACACCCGGCAGACTCTCACTGCTGTCTCATTGTCAATGCCTTTCCACTTGACTGAAAATCCCGCCCCCTCCCCTCCAACCCATCACTTCCATTTGGGGATTAAAGTCTAGACAAACGCTCCTGATTGGATGTTGGAGGTCAAATGGTGCGCTGTTATTGGTGGAAAATACATAAAGAGGCAGGCTTGTGATGGGTTTCAAAGGTGGGAGACAGTGGGAGACTCAGGTGCAGAATACCAATAAGACTATTAGGCTGAGGAGCATGAATTTACCGCTGAAGTTTCTCCCAGCAAGGTAGGAGTTGCATTTCAGTATTTGAGTTTTATGTGTATTGCAAATTGTTTTTGTACGTAAATCAAGATTTCTGTCAGTAGCAAATGACTGATGGCTCATTAATAGTGCAGCCGCAAGTTAGTTGTGTTTGAACTGTTGGCACACTTTACTCAGCAACACATTTTTCCCATTCCCTCATTTTGGCATGTAATGACATCTGCAGGCATTCTCTTGTCTTTGAGTGACAGTTATGTAAAACTGATAGATTGCACAACGCCTTAGTGATTATATTGCTGAAAACCAAACAAACGGTATTATTTTAAATAGCAACTGTCATTCGTTGAACGTTGTACATTGAATTGTTTAAATAATGTACTGGCTTACGTTGAATTTCCGTCAGGATCAGAATCGATCTGTATAGCGATGTTGCATTGAATGGCATTTGACAGAAATCACAGACGACAATTTTGTAGGTTTGGGATTTTGTAATTAGATACAGTGTTCCTTGCACGAATGCAACAACATGAACTGTAAATAGTGCGTGGATGTGGTGATTGAGATCAAAGGGGACTAAAGTTTTACCTGCTGATTGACTGGATGAATAATTACTATAATAATACATTTTATTTTATTGGTATGTATGCCCTTCATGACATTAACTTGTCCAGGGACTGAAGGTGAAAATTAGACATTTTTGTTACAAACATATTGCCTCTTTGTGAAGGTCAATGGGTTTATGTGCATTGTCCCTAATAAATAAATTAATATTGTATAGTTTCAATCAAATCTTAATTTCATTGTGGCATTCTTGGATAAAAGGCAGGTGTAATTGAAAGAATATTATATGTTTGTAAGTATTATGAATGAATGAATAAGTCAATTATCATTTAAAAAAACTATGCAATGACTAATATTTATAGTAGAAGTGTAAAGTTATCAGTCATTATATTGATTTGCTCATAAAACTCCTTGTCTGAAACTACAGTTCCCATTAATGCTGAAAGACAGACCTGTTGTATGACGTGATTGAAAGTCTGGGTTAAAACTATGTGTAAATCAGGTCTGTACGAGCTGAGGCAAAGGTCAAGTAGATGCCTGGAGGCGTTTTGTCTGCCTTCAGGAGAAGACGGTTACTCAGGTCACATGACACTGGCTCTTAAAGAGATGAGAGAGGAGCAGAATAAAAGGAGAAGCTATGATTACCACTGCTGCACAGATCCCTGTGACAAAGAACTTAAAAAGAGAGATGAAGAAGGAAAGGCAAGAGGGACTAAGATGGGAAGATTACATAAAGTGGGAAAAAAATGAAGCATCGGTCTATTTTGCAGCTGTCAGTTGTTGGATCCTCCCTCACAGCTTGCCATATGGGACTCTGGCATGTCATCCAAAACTAGGTCACATGACTTATAATTAAACAACAAGGTAGAATGACAAAGAAGAGTAATCTTATGGATAGGCAGACAAATTGCATTGGGAAATTACAAAAAGGGGTGGGTGTCTTTCAGTTTGATGGATGAAATGCGTTCTCCCTGATCAGATTGATGTTTTAGCCTTCAAATCTCATCTGTATTTCCTTTGTGTCTCTTGCAGTTGTCAATGAAGGAAGCCGGAGATGGGCTACATGCTCAGATGAATTCCATGATGGGAGCGCTTCAAGAACTCAAGCTCCTCCAGGTCCAGACCGCTCTCGAAAACCTCGACATCACTGGACGCCCCATCAATCGTGGCATACCACACGTTCCGGACACTGCTTCAGGGAATGGCCTCGGGTTTGCCCACAGCATGCTGCCAGAAACTAATCCGAGTCCAGTGCCAAGCCTAGCGAGCGGAAACACCACAATGAGCAGAGAAAGTAACTGCATGTCCCAAAGTGGAAGCAGTATGGGGACCTCAACCACATCATCATCCAGTTTTGAGTCTGACAGTGGTAGTAGTAGAAGTTCAAGAAGCGCAAATAACCAAGAGTCTATTCCGAAACGCTGGTCAGGATACACAGCTCCCCAAGTGGACTTTTGTGGACCAACAGTTGGAAACCCTCCACCAGAGCCATATTCACAACAACAGGGCCAGCGCCGCTCCCAGGTTGTTGATCTTCCCGGAATTTTATATAGTCTTTCAAAAGAAGGACCATCTATGGACAGTGAATGCAACCAAGACAACGCAGACGATGGAAGTGACTGGACCTCTTCGCTTATGAATCAATGCCGCAATCGCCAACCGCTAGTTCTGGGCGATAATGTTTTTGCCGATCTTGTTGGGAACTGGCTCGACCTCCCAGAAGTGGAGAGAGAGGACATGGAAGAAGACGAGATGAGGAAAGAGGATGTGAAGAATGGGAATGGGATGCCAGATAAACTCGACAGTCAGCAGATGCGCTTAAGTCGGTCTCAGGAGTTCTGCCGTAAATTCACTCTCACTACGAACATTTTTAAGAAGTTCCTACGCAGTGTGCGTCCCGATAGAGACAAGCTGCTGAAAGAGCGTCCAGGTTGGCCTGAAATGTCAGAGGCTGATTTGTTCAAAAGGCCAAAGAAAGGTGGAGCAAAAGGGTCCAAGGGGAGCTTTTATTTACCATTCTGGGCAAACGGACAGCAGGGCAAAGGCAGGCCATGTCCCAATCTGAATGAAGTGGAGAGGCAGCAACTTCAGCAACAACAGCACTTCCCCCAGTGTCATCAGCAGCCTTTAACTGGGATTTTCTTGGACAGTAGACAGCCGCAGACCGCCGCTGTGGACAGAATGCAGTCCTTGTTTGACTACAACACAGCTGTCTGGGTCTGACACAGCCCAGTGAACTGAGAGGGTGACTGAGGGACAGGTGCAGGGGATTTAACTGAACTCAATGTTATCTTCTACATTATCAACCTATAGACTTTGCCCATGTTTGATTCAAAGCACGGCAACTGTCTTGACAATCTGAAAACCTGAACCTCACCTGAGAACAGTGTGTGTATGATGTATGAAGATTTATGTTGATTTTATTATTATTATTTTTTTTTTATATTAATGAAATGAGTGATGAAGCTGACTGGAAGCAGGATCACACTTTATAAATGACATCTTAAGAATGTCGCTATGGTACATAAACTATTAAAGGCCATGAACATCCGTTTCACACACTGACAGTTAAGGAGGAGTGGAGGTCAGGTCACGTACAGCAAATGATTGACAAGTCTGTAGTTAATTCAAACCACAACCGCTGTATTGGCAATACAGGAACAATAGCCCTGCCTCTTATGAAACGATGTTAATTAAATCAGAAAATGAGCTTGATTTCATGGCAGCGAAGAAGTAAATAAATGATGTGTCAGAGATGGTTTTAATATGTAACTTGCATTTGGACATAGGCCTGTCACAGTAACAAATTTTGAAGTACGATATATTGCTACAAAGATATACTGCAATAAAGAATAATGAAATTACTTTATGCAACTGACACAATAACAATAAAGCAAATAAACCTGGTAAAGCATTTTTAAATAGAAATGCAACCAATAAATAGCAGAATGAACCAATAATTTGTCATAACAGCTCAAATTGTATTGTATTACAACAAAAATACCCCAAATCTTCCCAGTTTTACAAAGAAACACAATATTTATTGACTCTGAAAATATATAATTCCATCTTTCCTATATTGAATGATAAGTCAATATGGTAATTATCATGGCAGGTCTGTTTGGATGGATTCATGTTAGGAGACTGTTACATTTGTTTTATGATTACCTATTTATGTTATGTTGAACCACTGAAGCATCTGACTCAAGTTCAGCAAATGATCTGAACCTCCACTCCTGTTTTCTATTAATGTTATCACACTGGGCATCTCTCATATGGCACGTTTTCTTCTATGAATAGATCACCAACTGTTACATTGCATGATTACTGTTGTCTAAAAATGATGCTAGCAACAGCTGATACTCAACGCACTGCCACAAAACCTGCCGATAAGCTTCCCGTTGTGTCCGACTCGGCCTTGGTCAAACTGTCAGATCCATTCTTCTTACTCAGGGAACCAGTGTAATCCATCAATATAATAGCAGCAATACAGCATCAATCCATCTTCTCCTATCTGTAATTTTGAACGAGCTGTCAGATCACACATTTTCTCTCATCACAGGACATTTTCAGTCAACTGTTAGTCCTCCCAGTGCAAAGGGACACAGCCATCTGGTCTGGAGATGTCAAAGATATAACTTTCTGGGTTAATCCGTGGAATTATGAATACTCTCAATTATAATAATGCTTTCATAGGCTGTACATAGAGGTGTATGTATAAGAGGGCTGTTGTAAATGAAGCTAAAGACCAATAATCTCACTATCAGGAAGAATTCATTGTACAAAGATTGTACATATCAGGCAAACGCAGCAATAACTATCATTGGCCGTAATATCACGTTGCATGACTCATATTATGCACAGATTAATGTATCACCATAACTTCTAGCACCAAAAAGTGTTAACAAATCCACACGTTTTCTAAAATGTTTTATTGCTACATTATCTCATTTAAAGGCACTGTACCTGATTTTTACTCCCTTAAAAGTTGTCAAAAAACAAAGCTAGTGCATAGTGCAAAGTTATTTCTCACTTACCTTATGCATTTCGAGCATCCTAATTATTCACCACAATGAATTCATAAGTGCTTTTCACAAACTCTCAGAGACTAGTGCGGAGCTTTGCCGTGATGATAAACCTAATGAAAACTAGCATGCTAATGTATACTTCCTGATTATACAAGCAGCGTATTTTGACCTCAAGAGCTGCATATACCAGAGGTGGGAATTTGTAAGTTGTGACTTGGACTCCAGTCAGACTTGAGTCACTATTTTTAGGACTTGAGACTTGACTTGATAAAATGGACCAAGACTTGGGACTCAACTTGGACTTGAAGGTCAGTGATTTGGGACCTGACTCGGACTGGAGACCTGTGACTTGAGAAGACTTGAGACGCACTTTTAGATCTTAATTTTTTCTATTCTGACCGTAATGATTCACACTAAGCTCTAGTCAAGATATTTCAAAAGGAAAAATTAACTAAATTAAATTCTTTATATACTCTTAAAATACTCATATACAAATATACTATGATTTTTTAAGTACACCTTGTCTTAAAAGTCATATAAAGTGCAGAAATCGAAGCTATACTTGGTACTTTGGACTTCTGGGCCCATGACTCGAGACTCGACTTAGACTTGCCTATATTTGACTTGGGACTTGACTCGGACTTGAGGTCAAAGACTTGAGACTTACTTGAGACTTGCAAAACAAAGACTTGGTCCCACCTCTGTCTTATACAATTTATTTGTAGGGTAAGACAACTTTGCATGGGGTAAAAAAAAAATCAGGTACAGGCCCTTTAAAGGTTCTGTATTACACAAAACTGATTTCTGTGAGCTTTATGTTATTATACTGTTACCTACCTCATCAAAAACATGCCTGGAGTTGTGTTTTGTTTCATTATCATATGTTTGAGTAATCCTGCATCATTAGTTTGTCTACTTCGCAAGAGATCAAAATGCTCTGTGTCACCTTGTGATGTCATGTGGTAGTTTTCAAGTTAACAGCTACTTTTACCTGTGTGAATGAAACACAACTCCAGGTATGTTTTTGATGAGGAAACAACATTATAACATAGATCAGAAAATAGCGTAATATGGGCCCTTTATGCATGAATACAGTTAAAATACAGGGACTTTACTGGTTGCAAGAGGACCATTTTGCAAGGACAATCCAATGCTGTAACGTTTAATGAAAGTGGGAAACATTGTATGACCAATAAACTCTGGCATTAGTAGCTGTTCGTCTGAGTCTTGAGCAGCAAATCCATATGGTGTTTTCTAGTTATTCAGGTCAATACTTCCTGAGGGTCCAACACAGACTTCTGCCATAAGGAGCAGAGAGGCCATATCACAGTGTATGTATGTAAAAGTAATAATATTTCTTAACTATTTACTGGTATGTGTTAATTATTCTGCCTTGTTTAATATTTTGTATTTGAGGTTCTGAGAATCTCCAGCTGTGATTTTCTGTCATGTGCACTGTAAAAAAAAAAATTTGTAAATTAAATTGTTTTGTGATACAGATTATGGTGTGTCTTAATCTAGTTTGTGAATAAAAAAAGATAATCACAAAGCAGAACATGTAGTTTTATAAACACGGGGATAGTTTCTAGCATAGCCTTTTATGTGAACATAAATATTCCAGCACAACAGAGAATCCCTCCTTTTGTCACACTGAAATAGTAATCTTATTTTTCACTTTGCAGAAATCATACATATAACACATTAAATAAAATGAAACAAAAACAAAATTGTGATGTGTTATTGTGTATCGTTCCAGATAAGTAATTGTAGTATATTACACACTTTAAAGAAGTACGTGCAGAGTAGGTTCAGGTGGTTCAGATGACTTTGTACCCAGGTGGATTTGTTTTGCAGCAATTATCAGGTTTCATTAAGACAATACAGACAGACATTTAAACATTCACACTTTATTGTGTAACTTGGCACTCCTCCGTTCAAGAAGCAGGCTCAGATTATACACTGATCCTGCCCAGTGTACAGGGCCTCGCTGGTGCGCACCAAACAGCAGGCTGGACCATTTGATGATTTCACTCACCTCAGCTCGCTGTTGAGTTTAAATTATGGGGATCCTAATATTAACTAAACATATTTTTCCCCAATGTAATTAGCAGTTGAATCCATTTTGACAAAAATGGTCAATTTAACAGAAAACAGTTTGACACTTAAAATACTGAAGTTAAATCTTTGTTCACATTTGCACTTATAAGTCCTATATTACACAAAATAAAATCTTAAAATACTTGTGAGCTTTAAGACATGTTATAATGTAGCTATCTTGTCAACATACCCGGAGTTGTGTTTTGTTTCATGCATGCATGTTTGACTAATCCTTTATTATTAGTCAGTCTACATCTCCAAAGCTCAAAACACTCTGTTCCACCTTGTGATGTCATGAAGTGGTAGTCTTGTAGTTAACAGCTATACTTTTATACCTTTCATTTAGTAAAGACAGGCAATTCCACTGCTGAAATCACCCATATGATGCTAGTGGAGACATAGAAATTTTAAAACACAGAGGAGCACTTTCTGTCTTACCACATGACATCACAAGATGTTTGAGTTTGTGCACTAAATATGTGTGAATGAAACAAAACACAACTCTAAATGTGTTTGTGATGAGGAAACAACATTATAACAGATAAAAATTGCATAATATGCGTCCTTTAGTGATTTGGCTATACTGTAAATTGACTGCTATAGCATGTTTTATTACTGTAAATTAAATAGCCATGTTTTATAACCCAAGATAAGGAACCAGACAAGGCAGGTCTAGGGCTGTGGGCTGTGCATTAATCTGCTGTCTTCACTGCAGCTCTTAGCTTGATTTGTTTGTGAAGCTTGGCTCTGGGTAAAGTGCTGTGTGACTAACAGGGTCAACAAGGCTCTCCTCTTCTCTGCACCGGAGTGAGTTTAAATGCGTGCCTTCTCCATCTCTCTGCAATAAATAAACAAAAGGAGTATGGACCACAGACACCTGACCTCCACCAGACTGAATGAAGGTATTAATCTCACAAGACAGAAGCCGTATTAGACTTTTTTTAATGTTTCAGGGCAATTTATCAACAACAAAACACAGAATTGGACAATGTACATTAAAGTGTCCATTTCATTTTTTTTTTATAATACAGGAAGTGGTCCACTGTGTTTTTCATCTCCATACACCTGCCCTCTCTATTGAACTAAAGGTAAAAAGGTAGCTGTTAACTTGAAAACTGCCACTTCCTGACATCACAAAGTGGGCCAGACCATTTTCAGCTTTGGAGATGTAGACAGACTAATAATAAAGGATTACTCAAACATGTGTGAATGAAACAAAACACAATTATGGGTATGTTTTTGATGAGATAACAGTATTATAACATGGTCTGTTTTGTGTAATATAGGACATTCAACAGACGGCTTTTGTTCAGGACTACATGTGGTCTCTGGTCTTTTTCTGTCAGGCCAATCAACTATAGCAATAACGTAGATTGCGACTAGTGGTGTTATTTGAGAGCACAGAGAACAGAACAGAACAGCAGGGCCAGTCTAATTACAGATGGTAGCTGTAATGAACATCTGTATTAAACAATTGTTATGTAATGTAATGTAAAGTTAATTCGCATTTGTAGTTAGCTAAGCAAGTAACAAAAGAAGCACAGCTATATTAATAGATCAGGGAGGGAGGAAAAATACCATCTTAATACTTGGGCTTACACCTTTAGTTAACCTGTTTACCTAAATGGTGCTTAGACTTACTTGAAGAATTTTTCATGAATCATTTGAAGACTGGGTGGATCATTTATTTTTTGAAGGTGGCAGTTAAAGTTATTATCATTGGCACCATACAGGGTCACCACAGTCTCACTTTGGAGGGGAGACCACCTTCCCAGTGTTTATTAATGATCGATAGTTCACATGCCATTACATACTGTTACTATC